AGGGGGGGGAGAGGAGAGGAGGGAAAAGCTGGCGGGGAAGGGGCGTTGGAAGGAAAGGGAGAAGGCTGCCGCCCTTACATGGGAAAAGAGGGGCTGATCTGCCGACGGTGTGCCTGTGAGAAGCGTGTGCGTGTCTGCACGCGGGCTGCTGAGCCAGCGTTTTGGTCGCAACCGTTCGGGAGCTGGTCTACAGCGAAGGGTAAATGTGACCGGAGTGCCAAGCAGCTCATCCCGGCTGGGTTAGGTCAAGCGGAGAGGCAGGAGCTCCTCAGCCCTTCCCCTGACAGCTTCTGAAGTGGGAAAGTTTCGGGGAGGGGTTGCCCTTCTGGGGGCGAGGAGCGAAGGTGCACGCAGAGCCCCCGGGAGAAAGAGAGATTTCCTATTCTGCTTTTCCCTCTCCGCCCTGCAGCCTGAATAAATTCCTTCAGACAGAAGACGATTTTATGCCAGGTTTAAATTATGCCGGCACCAGACATGCAAAATCTCTTTGGTAATGTTTCTTTTACAGTCCTGGAACACGGCATGTGATTTAAGCACCGATCATTAATATTATTAATGCTAAATGGAAGTGAGGTTTATTGCGCTCAGTCTGTATTTACACCATTTAATAGTAACAACAGTCATGTTCAGAATTAAATTACAAAGCAACTTTATTGGATTTTTTTAAAAAAGACTTTCCATTTTTTCCCCATAATGCAAACTCTTAGAACACTACTGAAAATGCGTATTTTCTCAGGGGATAAAAAATGGATTGGAAAGTATCTAGCAAGATCGAGTTTTCCGTCCTAACGTTTCAAGCGTATTCTTTAAGGAAAAGTGCTTCAAATCGAAGAGGTAGACTAAATATAGGCTGAGTGCTAGAATGTATGCAATAATGTGCTTCACGTTAAACACAATGAAAACATCCCCCCAAAAAATAGCCATGCCCCCCTAGAATCATAGACTCATAGAATCATTAAGGTTGGAAAAGACCTCTAAGATCATGAAGTCCAACCGTCAACCCAAAAAACTACCTCTAGGTTACACCCACCAGTATACATCTGTATAAGCAAGTAGCATGGATCGCTCTGATCCGATCAGTTGGTGCCAAGGACGTGAACAGCATTCACACGTCTCCGTAGGTTTTTCTTCAGATTCACTCCAGCCTGAGCTTGTGGTCTGAAGGTCCCATGAGCACTCAGAACGCATCAGATGCACTTCGGGCATCTGTCTTCTGCTTCAGTGCCATCTGCATCCACTTTGTCTGCTCACCACTGCTGCGTAAACCAAAACGTGGTAAGTGAGGACGATCTGGAGGTTCACCCCAAAAGCGTGACCTTGATCCACACCAAAACATGAATGTGGATGTGCCCGGGGGGTGGCTGATGGAAAGGGAGCTGGTGAGACTTTCCCAAGGCTGAGAGCTGGAGCCAGCTCCACAGCACTCTCCCCTCAAATCGGCTTTCTGCTGGTGCCAAGCCTCTGTCCCAGGAATGCACCAGCTCTCCGGTCTCCGCTTCTGCAGGGAGCTGTGCATTTCTTGATGAAGGCAGACACTGTTCACTTACCACTTTCTTGCCTTTGCTTGGCTCAGTCAGGTGTTTTACCTCCTGCTGTTCATTTTACCAACACCTGAAATGACAGAGATACTAAGCTAACGTTGTAACATTTGAGCTGCGCTCTTGGTGTAAAGGAAGGGAAGAATCAAGTACTGTTATTAAATCCACAATTATCTAAAGACCTGGTCTGACATTCTTTCCTTAGCCGAGGGCCTCAGTTATAATGAAACTGTGATATATGTATCTAAACTAGGCATGCGTGGGGATTAGACGCGGCTTGGCATCAAAATGACTGTGGAAAAACTTCTTTCACACATGTAACAGGTTTCATAGTTCAAACTGTCTTTGTAAAGCTAGGGAGAAGCAAACAAGTGTGCAGTTATTCATGCAATTTATCTCTTCCATGGTATATGCCAAGGTCCCCAAGCCAGTGTTTGCTTTGCTAATGGCATCTCTACAGCAGTTCATTACTTCCTTTATATGGCCTTTACATGCACTCCCTGAGCTGCTGCCATTCTGCATTCCCTCATGGAAACTGCACACTGAATGCTGCATCTCCCCTGAAGCATCCTATCTTGCCAACTGTCTCCAAATGCCCCCGCAAGCTGGCTGCATGACTTAGTCACTTGTAGGCAACTAAGCATTATTTCACAACCTATTTTCTGTCAGAGAAGGAGTTTTGTTTTGATTAGAAACAAATTAAACACATTGTGTGTATAAGTTAACATCCAAATTCTTATTCCATTTTCTTCCTAATGTTTACAACTCCACATGCTTCAACTGTATCAACATTTGCTGCCCCTTTCAGAGAACACTGTGCCTAGAAGTTCTTTTACTGGGAGAGTTA